ACACGGCAATGCGGAAGTTCTGGATCTGCAGGTGAGCCAGAAGGCTTCAGGCAGGTCATACCAAAAAGGAATCTGATGGATCATCCTCGCGGCCACCAACGAGAAAGAAGTCTTTGGCAAACAAACATGGAAGCTGTGTTGTTCATGTCGTTTAAGCTCTGCGACGCAAAGCCCAATGCTTCCTTGCAGTCTCCGCCCTCGGTGCGTTGGCACGGTTCTGAATCGCTGCTGGTCTGACAACTTTGCAAGCTACCTCTTCCACCAGTGCAAGATTAAACCTCTCACGCATCAAGCGGGCGCTGAAGTACGCGTTGCTTCCGTGGCCCTGCGCGCACGGGGCTAAAGGCTTCCGCATTCCTGCCGCGTCCTTCCGGGCGCAGAGTCTTGCCAGAGAGATTTCCAGATCGAATGGGAGTTTGGTGTCCAGCTCAGTCTTCCATCAGGACGCAGAAAAAACTGCCGCTCGACGAATTTATGTCACGGAACGAAACTGCAAGGCCATCCCAGCCGGGACAGACTACTGCTGTTGCCTGAAACCGTGGCAGAATCGAGACCCGACTCGAAATGCGGATAGACAGCTGTATCAGAAACTCACAAGGCCCAAAGTGGTCGACAATCCCTCTCGACGCTTTGGTGACATTCCAAGCCAACCGCGATCAGCGGCTCCCAACTCCTAAAGGGTTGGGGGCCGCACGAGTCCACACCCGTAAAACCTTTCGAATGCATTCATGCTGGAAGATGGCAAACGTGTCGACCGCAAGTTGGAAGTCGTAATTCTCTCATAAACACCTACTACCCTCTTCACTGGCCTCCTACTATTCGGCCTACCCTCGGCCTCGTCAAGCTGAGCGAGGGCAGCGAGACATCTTTCCAAACAGTCTGGGCGGTTGTGGGCGATGACCTTTGGAGGCGCAAGGCCACACCACAAGTGCTGCAATTTGAATCGTGTCACTGTGTGTCAGGGGCGTACGACGATCACCAGCTCGTCGGGCCTGGGTGCACGTTTGGAGAAGCTTCGCAACCTGTGCTGCCTGTGGTGCCTCAGAGGCTCTCGAGAAACCGGTGAGCGCGGTGGTTGCATCACCCAGGACGTGCTGACCTGCCACTTTCGCTGCGTCCGAAGCGCCGCCCAAAAGGACCCTGCGAGCACCTCCCGAGGCTTCGTGGCAGAACACGCTTTGGTGTAGGACACCTGCGCCAGGCGGATTTTCCCCTCCTCTTTCTGATCTTCTGGTCAGGAAGGCCAAAGAACTTTTCACACTTCACACCATGCTCCCTTTTTGCAGCTTCTACGGATGCTTCTACACCTGCGCCCTGTGGCTTTCAAGCAACACTACACAGGTTGGTCGAGTGACCGTCGTACTGACCCACGCACTGACGGATTTGTTGCGGCTCATTTGTGATGAGTTTTCTGCCGTAGCTGACGAAATTCTAGCAGTGACTTGGCCATAGCATCGCCACTGTCTCTTGCAGGCTCTGCCTGCAGTCGAAAAATCAATGTGTCAATGACCTCTATTGCACAAGCTACCCAAAGAAAGTAGCAGGAGGAGCAGTAAGATCAACAGCCACACATAAATCGATGAAGCTGCTCGTTAAGAACCTCTCACCCAATTGGCTCAAGAAGTTCTTGCACAGATCGCAAGTGACGTCCACGTCTGCGCGACATCGCTTGATGAGCAGCCATTAGTCATTGGGTAGCAGCAGCGGCAGACGAAGCAGAGAACGACTCCTGATTCATTCCTGGCAATACGTCATAATTACTCTGCAAGCTGGCACTGGTATGCGCGGGCTGTCGGTCCAGAGAACCTGCTTCGAAGAATCAACTTGCTTCAAAAAGCCCGAAAAAACAAACCCTGGCCTGAACCCAAAGCCGCAGACCATCGCAAAGCCCTTAAACTCTACAGCCTCTGGAGGTGCATTCGGCGGTGTCGGCGCCAAATACGGAAAGCCTCCTCAGGTCCACCGATGCAGCCGAAGACAACGCATGGGACACTTTCGGTTGCAATGGTGTACCTATGCATGTATACTGTATACTGCTTATTCGCACATTCACGTGGAACTGACTTGTTTATGCATGCATGCATGGGTATATGTGTAGACAACTGTAGACAGTACATTCCTCCATGTGTGCTTGCATATGTGAGGTGATGTATGTGTGTTGGCCATGCATCTTGTATGCTAGACTGGGAAGCACATTCACGATCCACAGAGGCCCTGGCTGCGCGCTGAACAGCCTCGTTTCAGAAACTTGCACTGGAGCGGTGCCTGCCACAATCCCAGTTAGAGGAGCGAACGTTGCATTGAAGAGCACGTGACTCCGGCGCAGGAATCCTGAGCACGAGCCCAGTGCCCTAAGCTTTGCTTGTCGAAGGTATAGTCACCACAAACACAACACGGAAATTCTCCAAACCTGAGCGTGGTAGTTACTTTCCTTTTGGGAAGACGTCGTGAGACACAGCCCCTCGAAATATGACTTCCATCAAACGTTCCTATCATGACACAAACAGAAACCAACAAGAACGGCCTGCATGGCAAGGAACTCCCACGCTTATGCTCCACTCGCAGTCAGTCACGGCATGCCGGAAAAGTCAGGCAATTGACGTACTCACTGACTAACTTGCCATCAGCCAGCCGCTCACAGCTGGCATTTGACAAGCCTGCACGCGACAGAATCATATACTTTTTGGATAATGCTTTCCGCATAAATTAGGCACGCTTATTCGCAACTGCAACAGGAAACATACCGTTTTCCAAAATGTTTGAAGAAAGGAAGCATCCGGGAATTCAAGAACCAACCGCCTTAGAAAGTTGACACTTGCATTTCTGTACTGCGGTTGTCTGTGCTGCTCCTGATCGTCAAATCTCGAATTTAAATTGGCTCCACAGGCGAGGAGTATCTCGCTGCCCAGTCACAGTGATCCGTACGACACTCCGTTCAGTCGCGGCTGTAGGCCTGAGGCCGCGGCACCAGCAGCTGCGCACCTCGGGAGATCAGTTGGACCCACTCTATAGCGGCAGAACGTCAGACCCGCCCAGCCCGAGGGACCGGCGCGTCCTGCGCTTCGGGCAGGCTCCTTTCAGTGTCACCTCCAGCCCAAATGCAGAAGAAAGCGCGTGGCTTCCTGCCTTGCGAGAGTCGCCCAAAGCTCCCAAGCCTGAGCTGAGCAGCCTCGGCGATGCAACAAATTCCTGAAAGCACAGCTCCTCAGCAACTAAGTCCTCCGCTCGCCGAGGTACTTTCCAGGATGCTCTTGCCAGGCACATCCCCCCCTTTCAAAATCCGATTGGTCCAAGCACGGCTACATGCACTGATGCTGGCACCTGCTGCGCTCCGCTGGCTCGAGAAGCCTGCGGAGCCGGCATTGGCACAGGAGCTGCACTGCCACTGATGCAGATCGCAGCTTGGATCGCCTCTGCGTGGACTTGTCGGATGATGCGGATTTACTCATGCCCACTGGCATTTCGGAAGTCGTCAAGCGGCCTCATATCTGGACCAGCTTGGCTTCTGCATGACTTAAAGACGACTCACTTGGGCAAGAGACGTAGAGCTTGCCGCTGCTCCTTCTCCATGGCATCCAGCTGCTTGGCTATGTCGGCCTCATGCTCACACAAGGTTCGAACGTCACCCAGACCAATCCTGCTCGGACATGCGGCAGTGGATGGAACGTCAGAATCATCCAAGGCTTGCTGCGGCCACATTGTTTGCCTCGGATGTCTGGGCCGAATTAACGTGGATCGTGAAGGTGCCCTTGTACTTTTTGCAGCACCACCAAACTCCAACATCGATGCTTCAGCGAAGCAGTAGTAGTAGCAGCAGCAGCTGCAGAAGCACCACCACCACCACCACCACCACCACCACCACCACCACCACCACCACCACCACCCACCCACCCACCCACCCACCCACCCACCCACCCACCCACCCACCCACCCACCACCACCACCACCCAGCTGCGCCACCATCCAGCAGCAGTCGCACGGCGCAATGAATCACAACAGCAACAGTAGCATCAGCCTAACCACCCAAGCCACAAGGTTCAGTAGCCCGGGCACACACACACACACATACACACACGCTCACACACAAGGAATACACTTTGGAAGATGCATAAGACGAAGGAGTGTCGAGTGAAGCAGCGAGGCCTGGCAACAGTTAGTTGGAAGCTGAGACCAGCGCATCGATTCTGCGAAGCGGGCCTTTCGAGAGAGTCGTGCAACGGACCACAACAGGACAATCTGCAGAGCATGTGCGCCGAGCCTCTACATCTCCCCGGTCTCGTCCTTGCTTGTTCTGATCGCTTCCGAATTTGAAACTCGCAAATCCAAGGGCCCGGCGTCGAAGCTTGGCTGTAAAGCGACCTCCTCAGGCACCCAAACTTGTAACTTGCACCCAGGCGGATCGCCGGCCCTCCTGATTCGGAGTCCGCCTTTTGCAGATGCCACCTCCACTGCTGACCACAATCCAGTCAACTGCGATCCGTCGACTGCCGCAAAGAGCCGCCGAGGAGTTGCAAGAGGTTCTGGGGTTCGAGCAAGGTGGCCGGAACTCCGAGCAGTGTGCTCAAACTCATGGCCACCAAGACCTCGCGGAGAAGTCTGATCATGGTAACATGCAGAAAAAACAAACAAACCAACGAACGATTGTCGAGCCACACACACCCACTTTTCGTCTGCGAATCAGCGGCCGGTATCAGCATACGCCAGCTCCAGGCTATGGACAGAGAAACTCAGGCGCAGTCTAGCACGACCTCCTACGGCTCTGCTTACAAAGTGACCACACTGAGTCAATCTTCGAAGGGCAATCGGCGTTTCTTGAAAGCAATCTCCAAGACCATGAAGCACCGAAAGGTGGCAAGAAGTCCTGGAGCACCCGGAGCCGCCTGATGGGCGCGAGCAGTCGTCATGCTGTGCGGGGAATAGCGCTCTATACTTTGCAAATTCGAAGACAGGTCTCCCCAGCGAGCCGTCAGCCAGACTCGCCGAAGATGGTCGCATCCCCATCAAGCTGTCCACTCTTCCATGGGTCGTCCCTCTGAAATAGCCTTCCTGATGGCGGCTTGGATGTTTGCTTGAACTTCCCTCCGGACTCTCTCAGCTCCGGCCTGCAAGGCTGAAGCTGCAGCACGGCCGGACAGGCCTTCGGCTTCCGGACAGCCTTCCCCTCTTTCGGGTCGTTCCATGCCCTTTGGCTGAGGTATGAAAGGCTTGGGCTCACGAGCAGGATCGTCTCTGCGACCCTGACGCTCGCGGCGGTCGTCCCGGCGGTCGTCGCGGCGGTCGTCGCGGCGGTCCTCCCGGCGGTCCTCGCGGTCTCGGCGATCTCGCTGGCCTCTTCCTTCGCCGCGGTCATCGCGACGATCGCGATCAAAGCCTCGATCACGAGATCGGTCGCGTCGAGCATCAGCTCTGTCCCGTTCGATCCGCTCGTTCCGCAGATCTCGCCCCCGATCGCTCGTTCCCCTGTCCCGGAGCTCTTTGTCCCTCTCCGAACGAGGCTCTCCTTTGTCACCTCGTTGGACACGGTCCAAGTAGCTGCCTGGTGCGGGCCGACCTGGGGGACCGAGCGGATCGCCGTTTGCAAGCTTTTTGATCAAGAGCATGGCCGTGGCGGACGGCTTCCCCGAGCACTCAAAGTGCTTCTCCAGATCATGGTAGTATTCTGCTTTCTTTTCCTCTGAGCATCTTGCGAGGATATCTGCGATATTCGTCTGAGCAATGTCATCGAGTCTGAACTTCTCCGCGAGATGCTTCATGCGCTTGTCGCGGTTCACTGCCACGAATATGCCATCCTCGATCTCTTTCATCTTCACGACAAGCATACCGCACCTGATGTCACAGCAGCTTTTTTCTGAACAATGGAGGCGGGAGCTGCAGAACGAGTACCTGTTTCTGGTTCCATTCTTTTAGGTTTAGATATCTCTACGCCTGCGGACGGTGCAGTTGTGTTCTAGGGCTTCGGGTCAGCCGTGTGGTCCCAAAATGAACTTCTTGGAGACTGCTCGCCATGTTGCGGAGATCGCGCTTTCTCCATGATTTGCCGGAGCTTTTTCAGATCTTCGTCCCAAGTGTCCAGCCTTGTTTTTTCTGCACATGCAGTGCCGGCGATCATCGCAAGATCTGCCGACAACGAACCCAACATCCTAAAGGCTGCCCCCGTACCTGCTCAAGCCTCTGACATGACGCAAGCAAGTGCCAGGGCTCCGGTTTTTCATCAACTCGTTCAGCTTCTCCACGTGGCGCTCCTCGATGTAGAAGCCTTGAATGCAAGTCGAGACAAGCAGAGGGACATGAGCGACATGCTTACTGTTCAAGATTATCCCTCCCGGAGGTCCAGGTCTACCACTACATTGGCATGTGTTGCCTGTTTCCTCGGCCCGGTGGGCCTCGCAAACACTTCACCAGGTTTAGGCTTCTTGTGGCCCACCTTCACAGAGGTCCGTGATGTCGGGATGGATGCGGCCGTGCTCCGAAACATAAATCTTATTCGGGTCGTACCCGTCTTTGTCGGTCTGCGGTCCTTTCTGCATGCGGCTTGCCTGTCAGAAGCTCAGAATCCCTGCTAAGGTAGCTGCTAGCAATTTGCAAGCGACAGGTGTCTGGTCTCTCAGCTGGCCTGAGAAGCTTGTGTTCCAGGGTTCGTGTGCATCACAAAGGCGGCCGGCAGAGTTCCTGTCCCGGCCATCTGTGGGCTGGGGACAGCCTGACCTGCAAAGGAAAAAAGATTCGGGAAACGAAGCCTTCAGGGCTGCTTGGTCAGGTTGGTGTCTTTCTCACCTTCCTTCTGCTTCCTGTTGCTGTTCCTCCTCTTCGTGCGATTCGTCCTCTCAAATTAGTATAATGGCTGAGTGCCGACCTGCCTGGCGTAGTTTAACTCTAACTCTAACCCGTCAGTAGCCTTTCGGACCAAGAGCATTCTGGAACTCAACACCCTCATTTCGGCACTCACACTCGGACACTCCAAGCGAGGCATGTGGTTCGAGGTCTGATGAATGAAACTCTCTAGTGGGAATGGTTCAGGATACAACTTCATCTAGAATCACACCATCAACAAAGCGTCAGGATCCAATCCCCTTCCAGAATCCAGCGAGGTTTGAACACAGTGGCTAGGGCCTATGGAAAGCTTGGATTCTGGGGACTACAATAGGCCGATCACAGTCGCGGGGTACAAGGTAGACATGAGGGGCCACTACTCAATTACACCGACCGGTATTGGCCGAGGACACCATAAAGGGCACTGCGATCTGTATGCAGAGTGCCTAAAGGTGCTCCACCGATACTGGAGGCCCTTCCTGGGGTTAGCATAACAAATCCGCCGAGGCCAGAGGCCCACCGAAAGTTTCGAGACACCCTTCTTTTGCGTTCGTTTGCCACCCCCTCGCCCGGCTTCCCTTAATTTTGCCTGATTTGTCGGCCTTCCCCCCCTGATCCCATCTTTTCCTGTTTTTTCTCCCCCCCCTTCCCGCCCCTACAGCTGGTTCGTTCCTCCTTACCGCACGCTGACATGTCTCGCTGGAAAAGCAGCTCTACGGCACCCCCGCACCTGTTGAATCGTGGGAGTCCTGCTCAAAGAAATCTCAATATAGCCATGACCTGAACAGATTTCCTGAATGATACAGAGGGCTTTGCCGTTTCATCCGGCCCCTGCACCTGCGGAGCCGAGGCCTGCAGCGTAGCGTTAAAATCAACAGGGATTAAGTAACTCAACACCCTCATTTAGGGTCTTCGTGATCCACCATAGGCCCAACAAGTATCTCTCTGTCTACCTACCTACCTACCCGTGCTGCTGGTGTTCGGGCCATTATCGCCATGTCTTTCTATATCTCTCCCTCTCCTTCTCTTTTTCACTCTCCCTTTCGGTCTCTCTCGCTCTCAAGATGCGGCCCGAAACTTTCGTGCACACAGTTAGGAAGCAAACAGGTTGGTAATGGTAGGACCTCTCTCGTCCTGAAAAGTCGCCCTTCGGACAACTCCCACCCAAAGGCGCGCCCTAAATTGCTTTAGTCGGTGCCTTGAGAGACCGGTCTGCGCAGCCGCCCCCTGTTTAACGTGACTTGGCCCTGCCTGCAGCCCATCATGATCTCCCTTCGCGACGGAGACTAGAATTCAGACCGGCTGTCCTTCTCTCCCTTTATGCTTTTCTGGCAGGAGCGAGCCTCCCATGGGGTTCAAAGCAGGTGCAGGCTTGCCCATAGCAGTCATTGACATGAGGTTCTGCAGCTGCGCAAAGGCACTCCTCAGCTCTAGACGAAAGAAGGAATGAGGAATGAGTACGAGGATGCAACGGTGCCATCAAACAGAAGAAGGCTCGTGCTTGCAGCCAGGTGGCTGGATATCATCCATGCCACCCATGCCACATCCTCCAAATCCTTCTGTGCCGTCTGCGCCGGCCTTCTTTCGGCCCATGCTGCAAAGGCTGCCTGGTCGGGCACACCGAGCTTGTGCGGACAGCTTGTGATAACAGCACGCACGATGCCATTTCGGGACTCAGCGATGCCCAACTTTGATGGTCTTGACTGCCGTGAGTGCACTCGGGGCGGGACGTACTGTGCATGTTGCACCTGCACCTCATCCTAGGCCCTTCTTCCTGGAGCGCCTTTAGCTCTCCCCAGCCTACTGCCTAGCACCTGTGCCTGCACAACCCCGGTCACCTTTGGCCTTTGGCAGGTTGACGGGTGTTCGTTCAGTTCGTCGGTGACGCTGAAATCCGAGTGCCAACCAAGGTATGCAATCGGAACCCCTGACATCCCTCGACCGGCGCAAGCACAGCAAGTAAGAGCTGCTTGTAGGCAACGTTCCTCAAAAGTCATCGTCTGGCACTTCGCAGACAAGAGCTGTGGGTTTGCGAGCAGTTTTGTCGAAGCTTCCCTTTGGAGGACCCTGTACATTGAAATAGTTCATATCCCCTCAAACGAACGGCCTTCGACACGTAGTGCAGTTGGACGGTCACTCGGAGCAGTCCATCGCACCAAATTGCAAGTGGCAAACACAAAGGAAAAAATCAAGCATTTTTTTGTATGAGCAGTGTCAGTGACGCCAACAAGCGAATTATGATCCCACGGAAGGGCGATGTAAATCTTCAGACAAAGGCCAGAACTATGACCGATTATCTGGTAGCTTTTGAGCCTGGAGCATCTGACACCCATCTCAACAAATACGAAGCAAAACGTAAGTGCAACCCTGCGAGTGCCCGGCCCAATGTGCGCAGCTGCATTGTGACGACGATGCCACCGTGTCTTCGGCATCGTCCTGACAGAAAATATCGCACTGAGCAAGTGGCATGACAGCGACGTTGCAGAAGCTGATTTGCCACCCCACCTGCTGGCGCTTCGAACTTCGCCGCCTAAACCAGCAGTCTGCTGCAGGTGAATGCTTCGGACAGCTTCCAAGACTCCAGCCCAGTCTGCAAGCGCCCTCTCATTTCGGCATTTATGCCTGACCTCGTCCAGGCGGCAGGCTCGCAGATATCTTACGACGACTGATGCTGGGTCTTGCGCCAGCGGCGAGGACGGGCTGCTATCGAGAACCATTGGGCTTCTTGCACACGTTTTGTGCAGCGGGATCGCCCCAAGCAGCAAATGTTTCGAAAAAAACTTCTTAAAGTGACTCTCTTTGTTGCCTGCCGGCTTGTGAGGGCAGAGGCACATGCTGCGAGGGTCAGGTGACGACAGATTGCTGGGAGCATGAGGTTTGGTAGACTTCAGCACCAAATCTAGAACTATGAAGCAGTATAGGCTGAAAGCTTGCTGTGAACCTGGCTCAACCCTCGATCCCCAACGGCAGAGACCCGCACGAGTATGGCACCAGGTGTGCAGAGCCCGCCAAGCAAATCCTAAGAGATCCTCGCAAGAGGTCCTTTTGTTTGGATCGCCTCAAGCTGCGGAGGACTCTTCCTGGCTGTACTTCCACGGTACCCCGTGCAGGCCAGGAGTGATGCTTGCAGGAGGTGGCCTTGAAGCACTCGGAGCCGAATGAAACTGCGACGATGTCGTGCTTGCGCTTGCGTTGGTGATGGATTTGATGCGAGACTTTCCAAGGGACTGTACCACCACCTCGCTCTCTGCAGGCAGATCGCACAAGAGGTGAGTCATGGGCGCCGACAACAGGAGTTCTTCAAGGTCTGTAATATACTCACCGGTCCATCGGCGGGCTCCCAAAGCAACTTCCAATTCGAAAGGAGTGCAGATTGGCACCATCAAGTCTTGAACATCCCATGTAAACTGCTCCGGACCGCACAGAAGCACGTAACATTCCACTTCGGGGAAGTTCCCCAATTTCTCCTGCGTCGGCTGTCCCACAACGAATCTGTAGTGTTTTCGCCCGCCCTTTGAAAGCAGAATCTCCAGACGCTGCGCTAGTGCGCGCCCCAATGTTGTTGGGCCACCTGCAGCTACCAGTAGTATGCCGACAGTTGCTGCACTTTTCGCAGCTTCCACAAAGCGGTACCTCTTCTGCAGAAGGCTATCGCTGAAAACTCGATCTACCTTCGTAGATCCATGGCTCAGCTTGAACTCCTCTGCCTGGCTGCAAAGTCGCCACACAGGGCAAACACCTCCGAAACGGAGGAGCACGCACCTTTCAAGAGTTGATGCCTTCAGACCCACGTACAGAATCGCGGTGTCATCTGGCAAAGAGTGCTCGTAGCAGGGCTCGCGGCCACTCTCCGTGACCGAGGCTACCACACGCCCGCACACTTTGAGCTGAGCCGGCCGTGCGGCCGCTGCGCGAGTCAAGGTGCCAAGTGCAGCCCACCAATCTCGGGCAAAGTCGACGGTGCCCCAGCGCCAGTCATGCCAGCGAGGCAAGATGTCACCAGCGGATGCTTCTTCGTGAGACTCGGTCATCCAGATCCGCCAGCGGCCTTCTCCTTTGCCTAGCTGTTGCCGCAAAGCTTCGGCAAGAGGTCCCCCGAGGTGCTGGTACGCCAAGTCACAGATCACGAGCAAGCAGGAAGAATCCTTCTGCGAGACCCGGTCAAGAATACACAAGTCAATCCAAGTTCTCTATTCTATCGGGATTTCTTAATCAGAAATTTGGATGGCATAACGACAATTCGTGCGAAGATCTGGGGGCGGAACAGTCTGCTTTTCTCATTTTTCGTACAACTAGCTCTGGATCAATGAAGACCCCTGACTTCGCGTTGTGGCAGGACACGCACTCGATATGCAGCATCAAAGCAAGCAGGCTATGGAAATTCGGCTCCCCAGCTCTTGGCGATAAAGTTCAGCGGGGCAGACAAGTGGAGAGAGGCTCCAGGCAGAGCTGGGAGGTCCCGGGCTCAATAGACCGGAGGACTGTTACACAGCTGGGACTCTTATGTAAGTCGACTCTGAACATGTTTCATCTTTCGTACCACCAAGACACACTTCGCAAGCTGCTATCGTGGGCGCGGATGGTGCTCGCTATGGAGGCCATGTCATTGAAGGATTGCAGATCCTTCTGCTCTCCAAAGAGGAAAAGCACGGGCAAGTCACCGCCTCTCTGCTGCTCCGCATGCCCAAAGCGTACGATGCAGTCTGCGCCGTAATGCAAAGCTCCAACTTCGTCAACGCCTCCTCCACCAAAAGAGGAGTCTCCCAAAATAAAAGCTCGCTTGTCGGGCAAAGCCTTCTGCACTCTGGATACCAGGTATGGTGCGTCTGGCAGCATCGCATCTGGAAACTGCAGTGCAATTCGATCGAAACCATGCTGGGTAACCCAGTCCACGATTCGCTTCGTTTGCGGATCGTCCATCTCAAGTGAAGCGGTACAGGAGTGGCATCTATGCGGTAACACAACACTGACGCAGGCCAGCTTAGCATGATTGTTGCATGCGTATCAATGCATCATCTGCCAAGGCTGCTAAGGCTCTCTCTGCCTCTTATTGTTCCATGTTCGAGCTCTATTCCAGCAAACGCTACAAGGAAAGCAGCTGCTGCCGGCAACACGGGAGAATGGGGTCAGGTCATGAGTGCTGTCAACATGACCTGCTCCAGCTCACCATGGCAGCAAGCCCAACTGCAAAGTGTGCAGAGCCTTGCTTTCTACGTAAAAGATTCGAGCGCTGGACACTCGGAGGCTCCAACCCTATGAGGGTAGCAACGACTGCGAGTAGCAACCAGTCTGAGCCTCGCGCTGAACCGGCATGTGCATCGCACATGCGTTCCGAGGCGAATTTCTCTGAGTGAAACGCTTTGGCCCTCGCGGGGCGAAGTATTATTGCAGGCCACAAGCCTGCGAGTTCTTTGTGCATTAGCGTCCGACATGCCTTTGAGCAGGTTAAGGGCGGTTTATGGAAACACCCCCCTGGCAGGCAAAATAGCTGAAAGACCCGGTCGGTAGCAGGTGCATGACTGACTGGTCGAGCCAATACAAATCCAGTCTTTGCCGATGTGGTCCGGGTCACAACAGCGAAAGCCCCCACATCCCGATGTGGGAGATGGTATGCTGCTTGAACTTCGCCCAGAAAGCTCAGAGGGCCTGGCCCGTCTTTGCCCTTTCATCGGAACTTCCCCTTGCCTTTGCCTGCTGCCGGGTGCGGGAATCTGCGGGACCTGCAAACTGAGTAACGGGTGCTGCTGCTTCGCCTGAGCCCTTTTTCCCTTTGCCCTTTCCTTTGCTTTTACCTCTTCCTTTGCCTTTGCCTTTGCCTTTGCCCTGTCCGTCGCCACGACCTGATGATGCCGAAGTGCCAAGCGACAAATTCGGTTCTATGCTGTGCACTGCACACCTGCTCCCTTCTTTGCAGCTCTTCTTCTCTGCTCCTGCGCACACGTGACAGGTGGCGGTGTTGGCGGCAGTGGTGGTGGGTAATGGGTTGGTGATGGTGGTTGTTGGTAATGGTGGTGGTGGTGGGTGCTGGCGGGTGCTGGTGGGTAGTGGTGGGTTGTGGTCGGTCGGGCGGTGGGTGGTGGTTGGTGGTGGCGCGTGGTGGCCGGTGAACGGTGGCGGACGGTGAGTAGCAGGCACGAATGCTCGCAATGGATACAAACGTCACGTCCTGCTACTGTCGGGCGGGTGCGAATAAGACAAGCACTATTCAATCTGCATAACATGAGAACGAAAACATAAACACAACAGTCGTGGTTAAAAACAACCATGCATCAGCATGCAGCAGACTTAAATACGCAATACGAGTGACAGTGCACCCGACAACGGCATATCGTCATGCACAAGTCGCGCATGAGTGATACATGTATATGTTCCAGAGGAAACCAGTGACCTCGAAAAAGCTTGGCAATGGCAATAACAACAGTGCAATGGAGCATAAAATCACAAGTCTTGGAAGGCTCAGTGTCCACCATGCACATCCATGCACTGGAAAGTTTCACCAGAGAGAGGAAGGATGGGTGATCTGCAGTCCTCTAAGTCGAAGGCAGATCGGCCCTCGAAAGCGACCTGTTTGCAAAGAGATGCTCAACCCCGGA